GGTGACTTTGGGGGTCCCCGTCCTAAAAAAAGGGCCCAGGTGCCCTTGCAGGTCCCAAACCTGGCCTGGTGTGTCCCCAAATGCATCCAGGAGCCCCTGGAGCCCCCCCTGCCCCCCCTTGCCCCCCGTGTCCCCCCCTGCAGCGCCGTGTCCCCGCAGGGTTCATCAAGGTGCTGCTCTACATGGCCTTCATGACCATCATGATCAAGGTGCACACCTTCCCGCTCTTCGCCATCCGCCCCATGTACCTGGCCATGAGGTGAGACAACCCCAGCCCTGTCCCCTGTCCCCTGTACCTGGCCATGAGGTGAGACACAACCCCAGCCCATCCCTGTCCCATGTACCTGGCCATGAGGTGAGACAACCCCAGCCCATCCCTGTCCCCTGTCCCTGGCCATGAGGTGAGACAACCCCAGCCCTGTCCCCTGTCCCATGTCCCTGGCCATGAGGTGAGATCCAACTCCATCCCAGGACATTCCCAACCCATCCCTGTCCCATGTCCCCTGTCCCACGTCCCTGGCCATGAGGTGAGAGACAACCCCAGCCCTGTCCTGGGACATTCCCAGCCCATCCCTGTCCCATATTCCATGTCCCCTGTCCCACGTCCCATGTCCCTGGCCATGAGCTGAGCTCCAACTCCATCCCAGGACATTCCCAGCCCATCCCTGTCCCCTGTCCCTGAGCTGAGCTGTGCCCCCATCCCAGGACATTCCCATCCCTGTCCCTGGCCATGAGCTGAGCTGTGCCCCCATCCCAGGACATTCCCAGCCCATCCCTGTCCCTGAGCTGAGCTCCATCCCTCCAGTCCCTCCCGGCTCGGGATGGTTCCCGGTCGGTCCCAGCCCTTGGTGTCCCCTCAGGCAGTTCAAGAAGGCCGTGACCGATGCCATCATGTCCCGCCGGGCCATCCGCAACATGAACACGCTGTGAGTGCCCAAACCTGCCCTCCCAAACCTCCCCAAACTCCCCAAACCCTCCCAAACCTCCCCAAACCTTCCTGCAACATGAACACGCTGTGAGTGCCCAAACCTGCCCTCCCAAACCTCCCCAAACTCCCCAAACCTGCCCAAACCTCCCCAAACCTTCCTGCAACATGAACACGCTGTGAGTGCCCAAACCTGCCCTCCCCAAACTCCCCAAACCTCCCCAAATCTTCCCTTCCCAAACTTTCCCAAGCCTCCTCTTCCCTCCGTTTTTGGGAACAAGAAAGGAAGCGGCTGAGGGTTTTTGGGGATGGGGAGGGAAGCAGCCCCCATGCAGAGGGTTTTTGGGGTGATGAAGGCAGCAGCCCCCGAGCAGAGGGTTTTTGGGGATGGGGAGGGGAAGCAGCCCCCCAGGCAGAGGGTTTTTGGGGATGTGGGAAGGGAAGCAGCCCCCCAGGCAGAGGGTTTTTGGGGGTGATGAAGGCAGCAGCCCCTGTGCAGAGGGTTTTTGGGGATGTGGGGAGGGAAGAACCCCCCCATGCAGAGGGTTTTTGGGGATGGGGAGGGAAGAACCCCCCCAGGCAGAGGATCTCTTGCCCGGCCCAGGTACCCCGACGCCACGGCCGAGGAGCTGCAGGCCACGGACAACGTTTGCATCATCTGCCGAGAGGAGATGGTGACGGGGGCCAAGCGCCTGCCCTGCAACCACATCTTCCACACCAGGTCTGGGGGGGTCACGGCACCAGGGATGGGTTTGGGGGGG